CCTCAAGCACCGGAGCAAGTGCCCGGAAGATGCCGAGCCCTGGGTGGTGGAGTAGTACGCCAGGGCCTACCTGTGGTACATTCTCACGGAGGTGGTGTTTCCGGACTGCTCCGGGAACTCTGCCCTATGGATGTATCTTGACTTCCTAAAGGACTGGGATGCGGGGTACAGCTTGGGGCCGCCGGACTTGCCTACCTATACCGTTCGGTAAGTGAATATCACTTTCTTTCAAATATCATGGACGTGTGCTGCTTTAGATTTTGACATCTTATCATCTATACTTGGTTTGTAGCTTGACGACGTGACCCAGAGAGCGGAAGTCACGTCCGGTATGTGTGGATGTGTATGGGGCCTCTCCATTTGGATGCGGGAGCGAATCCCGATGGGACGTCCGGAGAAGTTGCGCTCGCGTGCATGGATGGACTACGGCGGAGATAACGAAGACGATCGGAACCCGACCGTCGCATACGCTTGGGACGTGGTGCGTGTCTACACGGGCGAATCGAAGGCCTTGTACAAGGTCTTCAGCAACGAGCTTGATGCTCTCACGCCTTTCCAGGTATAAGAACTACATTTTGAATAGTTTCGATAACACTTTCACTTGAGCTTACCATTGTTTGGTTATAGGTTACTTGGCGGCCGTATAGTGATGATCGAGAGTGGGGGTTCGAGCTGAACAACATGTGCAAGCAGGACCGGCTACTCTTCCGGTGCATCGTGCCCATGATTTGTGTCTATGCCGTGGAGTACCACTTGCCACAGCGCGTTGCCACACAATTTGGTAAGGCGCAACACACACCACCAGCCGGTCACGATACCGGCGGCTACGACCTACACCAGTGAGTACCACAAGCCGTCCTCATCGATTCTAAGTTCTTGTTTTTGAAGGAAATATGCCCTAGAGGCAATAATAAAGTTATTATTTATTTCCTTATATCATGATAAATGTTTATTATTCATGCTAGAATTGTATTAACCGGAAACATAATACTTGTGTGAATACATAGACAAATAGAGTGTCACTAGTATGCCTCTACTTGACTAGCTCATTGATCAAAGATGGTTATGTTTCCTAGGCATTGACATGAGTTGTCATTTGATTAACGGGATCACATCATTAGGAGAATGATGTGATTGACTTGACCCATTCCGTTAGCTTAGCACACGATTGTTTATTATTCTGCTATTGCTTTCTTCATGACTTATACATGTTCCTATGACTATGAGATTATGCAACTCCCGTTTACCGGAGAAACACTTTGTGTGCTACCAAACGTCACAACGTAACTGGGTGATTATAAAGGTGCTCTACAGGTGTCTCCAAAGGTACTTGTTGGGTTGGCGTATTTCGAGATTAGGATTTGTCACTCCGATTGTCGGAGAGGTATCTCTAGGCCCACTCGGGAATGCACATCACTATAAGCCTTGCAAGCATTGCAACTAATGAGTTAGTTGCGGGATGACATATTACAGAACGAGTAAAGAGACTTGCCGGTAACAAGATTGAACTAGGTATTGGGTTGGCAAATCCATACTTTTATTTAATTAATGATGAACTTTTGTTATTCATCCATATGTTTAGGTCTGCAACAGTGGCGCAACCATCGCCCATTCATCTCCAACACGACCCGTCCGGCTTGCCACTTCCGTACGTGTACGAGTCCTTCCCCGAGCTTCTGCAGCCGGTGAGCGCTTTTTCAGACGAGTTCCTACAGGCGACGAGGGCAATGCGGTGGCACGAGAGGGCAGAACGGATCGCCGACGATGTGAAGCGTTGGTCGCAAAGTGTGAAGGAGTGGAAGAGAGTGACTGCAGAGATGGAGGGAGATCCAACTATCTCCCGTGAACGCTGGGAAGGGACCACTGAAGCTGCCAAGCAGCACTCCAACTGGGAGCTGCGCAATTTGGGCCGGAGGATCTGCTTAGGAAGCAATGCGGAGGAGAGAGCCAGGATGCCGCCCCCAAGTGCATCGGCGTTCGATATCATCAGCTGGGGAAGGGCGGAGGCGAAAACTCCAGCTGGCAAGGCAAGGTGGGAGTGCTTGAACAGTCGGATGCCGACCAGCGTTCCGCCTCCGCCTGAACCGGTGGATCCGCTGTCGTATCTGTCTCCATGGCCAGACTAACATACGAGGGGGGAGATTTACCCGCCCTATAAACATGTCTATTGCATATGCATCTATGTGTTCGTAGGGGTTGTCAAACTATGTGGACAAGTTTGCTATTTCCTACTTATGTGAGCTCATATTTGCTATGTTGAACTGTTTGATATTTGCTATGTGGAAATTGTTTGATATGTGGAATCTATGTGGAAACTGTTTGATATTTGCTATGTGGAACTTTATTAATATGTGAGCTCATATTTTGCCTCCTTGTAAAAACTATGTGAAACTTGTGACAAAACAAACAATCAATAAAACTTGTAAAAACCTGAACCCACAGGAGCCTACCGCCAAGACCTGCGGCGGTAGGGTATTGCGTTGGCCGTTAGCTAACGGCAGTGGACCGTCCATGCCACCGCCGGAAGCCCTGGCAGTAGCCTGCGTGAACCTACCGCCTAGACCTTTGGCAGTAGCAAAAGGGTCAGATGTCAAAAAAAATTGAAAGTGGGGTCAGATCCTGATTTTGTTTGTAAAAGGGTCAAAGCACGAAATTTTGCCTCTCAGTGAAGTGAGTAGGCCACATATGCATTTAGTTGGATAATTTGCATGTGTAGAAACTGCACTCATGTGTTAAATAATCTGAATATATGGATAATTAAAAATGACATGGCAGTGCTAGATAATTTGAATAGATGGATAATTTCTAACGAATGCATTTAGTTGAAGTAGTTTTACTGGTTAATTTAGTTGGATAATTTGGCAGATTTGGCAGTTCATTATCTTTGGCAGATTTGCCCATGTGGGACAAACTTTCATTTAGGTAATTTAGGCATGTTTGGCGCTACACTTCAACAATTATACTAGAGTACGAACTAGCGTAAAAAAAAATTCAAGCCATGCACATATGTTGGCATCCTGGCATATGTTGAACTTTTGTCAAACCCCACGAAAATTCTAGTTTCCACACATCTTTGAGCACGCCAAGCAAAACTACAGATATCAATATACATCAAAGCAACTAATAAACTACACAAGCTCAATCGTGGTACATGAATGTTTGAAACTGGGAGCAGCTTTCCGTAGCGTGGAGGAAAAAAGATGGGAGTACAGTACACCTTGTGTTATATTGTCATATCAGATTGGGTAGCGGGAACATATAACCACACTGATTTTACAACCACTCAAACATGTGACCAGAGCTACAACACTTATACACCCCAACTCAATAAAGGGACCTCAGCAATAAACTAATGCTAAGTGACTCATGGAGCCTGGCTGGAAAAATCGATCTTACTGCTTCCAAAACCTATTTCGAGACAGCGCCACTTCATTCTCCTGTCAACAAAACCAGCGAAAAGGAATATTAATTTATAAACCAACTCTGGAAAGATAATACTAAATCTCAGCGGTGGAGATCAGTAAAAGAAGAAGAGCGTACGGGCCTACCCATCATCCTGTCAAAATTGGCTTAAGCTGAAAACGTTGACCTGCCAACTGGAGGAACATCAACAACCTTGCCTACAGCTATTGTCTTGCCTGCAAGCCCAGCCAAAAGAATCATTAACAAGTGATAAACCAACAGCGGGATTAGCATGAAATAGGGAAACAGAATCCAGATAGATTTAGTTTATTTGGTTCTTTGGTTGCATATTGCAAGAATGGAAGGTTAACAAATCTCAAGGTAACCAGACAAATTTCCAGGTGAACTAGAATAAAGCTGGTTCCGGTTTCGTCCCCCCAACAGCAATCAGACTATTGTACTAACACAGAAAGACAAATAAAGTATCTTCCATATAGCATGTATACTTGCCTTCAGTTCGTAGAGTAAACCTTCCAAGCTGAGGGAAATCAGAGAACTTCTCTATGCATATCAAATTAGTCACCTATATGCAGAACACATCATCACAATTAGTTCTACAAGCAATGAGAAGTTATGATATTACTATAATGACATTCTGAATGTATATACCTGGACGCGGCAAACTACAACTGCACCATTCTTCACAAAAAGAGGCTTCCTCTTGGTCTTCTTTTTCTTTGGGTCAGTTACTTTCGCTTTCTTCATGTCAATTTCCTCTATGAGATCAACAATCTCACACTCCTCGACAACAGAGTGGATGTGTAACACTGCCTTGTAACCAGCAGTGAAAATAGCCTGAAATATTACAAAGAGAAACACTACATCTTCAAAATTGTGTAGCAGTAATAAATAAATATATACTTGGAATGATGCAAATTGCTGATAATTCGTGTAAAAAAACAAACGGTGGCAAAATATTAGACTATTAACCTGATACTATGGGACGTTAGATGTAGCATTGCTACTAGCATAATGTATGAAGTGTCATAAGCTTACATGCTGAACATAGAAGCCAATCCAATTTTTTACTTAAATAAATCAATTCCATATTCATATGTACATATATCCCATAAGCATAAACGATAAATCCTCGTCGGTAAGTTGATACAGACCAGAAACGGAGAACACGATAAATATGAAAATTAGTCTCCTATAGCTTATTTATGCAACTGAAAGTATCAAACAACACTTACATTATCAAGCAACTCTAGAATCTGCAGTTGGGCATTAAATTCAGTGAAAGCACCAATAGGATTAGCTGCATGTAAAGACAGTATCAACATGAGAATATATATCAAATTAAAAAAATATCCACAAGCCACAAGTAAACAGCCTACACAAATTAGCTGCATGTATAGATATTATCAAGATGAGAATGTCATATCAAAAAATTATCCACAAAGCCACTAGTAAGCAGCCTCTTCCACAAATATCAGATGTATAGCACAAGGCATATTAAAATAACATAACCACATTCAAGGGATGGACAAATTTGGTGCTGCCATAAATTATTTAGTTAAGAGAATTCATGCAAGTTTTTTAGTGGTACAGTGATAAAAATGAAGCTCAATCCACTTTCAGCCCTCTTTTACAAGGGCTAAGCAACTGTATCGGATACTGTCCTTCCTCAAACCAAACACATGCTAAATCAACCACTCAACCCCGGGATGAATGTCCGAATCTGTATCGACACCACAACACCAGAACCTGGACCCACATCAGATGTTTCAGACAGAAAAGCAGGAGTCGGCCGGCTATGACACCTATGATTAGGAGATAAGTCTCGGAGATAAGGGTACCAGAAGACAGAATCTTCACTTGATAATTGTGTTGCTTAATGATTATGGGCTACATGCTGCCCCTTTTGTAGGGTGGCTTTCTTAGTACTCCCTCCATATCAAAATATAAGACATTTTTTCAGTTCAATTTGAACTGCAAAAACATCTTATATTTTGGTGCAGAGGTAGTAGTTGTGATCCACACCTATAAGCAGCTATAACACTTTACTGAAAATGTGTTTTGTCCATATCAAGAAGTTGAGAAAAAAATAGTAGTAAGAAGCTGATCTCAACGAACCAAATCATCTCTCAACTAATCACATCATGACTAATCTTATCTCTAAGATAGATACTAGAAGTTGCCATGAGCCTGTTGATGCCTTCTATGTCTGATGGACCTACTATGTGGTGCAGCTTATTATTTTGTGAGCTAGGCCACTAGCCCTGGATTTGTTGTTCTCCTCGTGTCAGTTCTGGTAGGAGCTGGATGCACGGTCATGACACCCTAGTATTATTATTCTAATGTTGCCCAACCAGAAAGATTGGCTATACAAAATTTTGGCTGACTTTAGCTTGCCCTTGTGCTTTCCTCATGTCAGCTCTGATGTACGCACGGTCATGATACCTTAATATTATTCTAAGGGTGCATTTGGCTGGTGGCCAAGGTTGCCCAACCAGAAGATTGGCTATCAAAAATTTTGGTTGATTTTTGCTCGCCCATAGATTCGTCAATACTGGCCAGAGAAATGAACTAGACATGGGAGAGGAGTATTAGCATGCCAAAAAGTTGGCACTCATCCAAACAAAGACCAATATTTTGGTCATAGCCAAGAAGTTGGTAAGGTACTACGTCACAATCGAAACTCATCCTAACTTTTCTTGAAGAGTGCACTTACCAACACTTGAAAGTACAAAACCTGCCATGATATCCTCCTCTTCAATTCCAGACACTTTGACACGTACATTCTCATTGGGTCCAGCACGTCGTACTTTCTTCTCATCCAAGTTTATACCAGTGACTTTCACGTGGGTCTGCTCAAATACAAAATTGAGCTTCAGACTCTCAAGTAGAACATGTAAGCAAAGGTGCTACACTGAAGTAAAATGAAAATACCTTGTTTGGCATAACCAACAAACTATCACCCTCTCTGATAGTCCCATTCTCTAATTTTCCCATTACGACTGTGCCCATATCTTTATATTTATCAATAATTGGCAGCCTACATTGATAATAAAGAGAACTGTAAAACTTGCATCTTGCATGTGATCAACACAACAAATCAAGCAGACCCATCTATACAAGTAGCAAGATATAGAAGATAGTCTATCCATTTTTCATTTGAATTGCCATCTGTCTTAGAACAGGGACAGAGGAGCAAGATGTTTCAAGAGACGTGTACTCAAACTTTGAACAGTACACAGTCAAAAAAAAACTTTGAACAGTAAAACATACAAATGCTGATAATGTAAAGGCATAATATGAATGTAAAGAGAAGTAGTCAAGATACGATATCATATGCTATCATACCACAACATATAAATCAATAATCAAGAACCGAACATTGGAGATGATGTCATGTTCAAAGCGCATAATTTTTTAAAACAGGGAGTATACGGATTTTAAGCATAAGCATAGCTGCCAAACCTTACTGGCCCTTTGGGATCACGCAAAGGAACTTCGATTTTGTCCAGAATTTCAAAAAGGCAAGGACCGTTCCACCAACTACAAATGCTTTTATCCATTCTGGTCTTCATATTGGCTCCACAAAGACCAGAAATAGGCAAGAACTGGACATCTGGTAACAAAGCCAAAGAAACTTTTAGAAATATGATAAGAGTTCGCTCAACAATGATATAGTACCTAGAATCAGGTATGATCATAGAACATGTAGTTTCATATAAAGATCCTACCAATAAACTGCAGAAAGTACAATGTACAGCCTCTATAATTAATTTGACAAAATCCTAATGCCTCACTGTGGAACACGAGGTAGGTGTCAACTTAGCATGGCAAGAAAGCGATTAGACATAGCCTGCAAGTCTAGGACTCTACGCATCCCAATTATTTTAAACATATAGAAAAGGAACCATTGACATGAACACATTGACATTGAAGGCACAATTTACTAAACATAGACGACCACAGAAAGTTATTGCACATAACCCAGCTTGAAACTGCGTGTCAATGACAATTTAATTTTTCAGATAGGGTCAAAAGTAGAGTAGTACCTTTCTTAACATTGTACCCTGAAGATCTGAGAAAAGGAATCATCTTCCCTTCAATTTCATCATACCTGAAACAAATAATAAAATTGATTATTTTATTTTACTCCAGCTATTACCTGCTGTAATATTAGAAGCTTTCAATGAAACATATAATACAAGGTATGTCCCACCAGGCATACCTTTCTTTTGACCATTGTACTGTAGGTTCATCCATCTTGTTGATGACAACTACCAACTTAGCAACACCTAGAGTTTTTGCAAGCAGTACATGTTCACGAGTCTGGCCTCCTCTTTCATAACCAGTTTCAAATTCACCTTTCCGAGCAGATATGACCTGAAAAGAAAAAAAGGAACATATTCACCAAGAGATATATGACCAAGGAAAATGGGAATGACAATGCCCAGGGACCTAATGTTACCAGAACACCAATGTCAGCTTGAGATGCACCACTTATCATATTTGGAACATAACTTTTATGGCCCTGCAAGTTCAGATCACCCAAGTAAGCACATACTGTACATGAAACAAGAATTCAGTTCATAAATTATGGCAAGGAGACCAGTCACACACAGGAAAAAAAACAGAAGCATCATCAGTCGATCTAGGTGTTTTTAACAAAAGTTGTGTACTGTGTGTGTCCAAATGAAGCAGCACGTCCGAAAGTATTAAGTGTGACTTTATTTTCATAAGAGTACACCTAACACGTATGCATGTATAAGATGAATCAGAACAGTAGCATTGCCAAATGCCAGCAAAGGAGTGAAAGTACAAAGAAAATGGTTCAAACTATGATTTTGAAGCCACAGAGGTGTGCAACTAACAATGAGGCAAGGATGGACCAGAACATGAAACAGGAAGGATTGAATTAGATCAATGAATGACATGACTAACCTAAGGCGATAAGAATCTGTTATTGTATATCAGTACACAAAATAAACAGAATTTCAATTATATCACTGCAAGAAAGCCATCAAGGGAATTAACCATTAGCATATTTCCTAGTGTTAAATAATCTGCCTGTGTTTGCTTTCGGCCCAACTGTTGCACATGTGAATTCTTTTGTATCTACAATTTTGTACTGTAAACTAAGACAGGCAGATTACATGGCAAGTGACTCCTAGACATTTTTGTTACGTTCTATATTATCTCGTAGAAAATATTCAAGAACCTTAAATCATACTCCCTCCGTCCCAAAATAAGCGTCTCAAGTCTCAACTGTGTACAAAGTTGTACTAAACTTGAGACACTTATTTTGGGACGGAGGGAGTATGACAATGGCCCCAAAAGCAAGCATATGCAATGCATCAGGTTGACCATGTAGATTCCTGATTTGGCAAGAACATGAAAAAAGGTTAAAGAAAAGGTACAGTTCAACTATATGCTGACCATCAGAATGCTGGTGTGGCCACAAAATCATACATAAATCTAGAGAATAAGAACAGGGTCAAGTAAGAAAAAAAAATAACAACTAGGAGTATCACTGTAGTATGTGAAAGACAAGTACCGGTGCATCTAAGATAGTGAATCTTGTATTTTCAGTCTCAAAGTGGGCTCTACCAACTTCAACAGTCTTCCCCTGAACACATGCAAGAGAAAGTGTAAAAAACTGTAGAGCTTCAACACAGTGATCATTAAGCAGTCGTAAGGGAGAGATACCTTAAGTCGCTCTTCCTCATTTGTGTCCATAATATAAGCCATATACCTGCAAGTATTCAGATTCAGATTACCAATTATAATGCAAGGAGTGAGTGGTTCTCAATTTAAAGGGCAAAAGCATTGGAACAAAAAAAGAAGCAGAATGTGAAAGGACATCCACATTATTAACTAATATTAGTTTACAAAGGGAGTAGTAGTCTAGTATGAATAGGCATTGCTCTCATATTCAAAATTTGTGGGTTACAATCGCAAAACAAGGCAACCTGAATATTGCCCAGGGCCTACTCACCAACTTTCTCGGCTCTTATCCTTTGCTTCTTTTTCATATTTCTGGATGGTCCGGTCATCAACCTGACCACTCAAGAACAATATTTGCCCTCCAGCAGTCGATTTCCCCGCATCTGGAGCCATGAAACAACAAAAATAAAATTTACTTAAGGTTAAAAATATACTAGAGAAAAGAACCTACAGAACACCAGCACTATTTACACAGAAATAAGAAGATGATTAGTAGAAATACAGAGATGGGCCAACCATAATAGAAGAATTGGCTACTATTTTTCTTGCTAACTTCTAGAATAAGAGGCCAAATGTTGGCAAGTTTTGGTTTTGCTAAATTCTGACATCCCAAAACATTGGCTGGCCAACTTCTGGCTGTAAACCAAACATGCTCTAAAGAACAGTGAGGTGGTTCCATAAACAACGAAACATGAAGGTTGAACAAGCTAGAAGATCAAGAAGAGACTAGAAGAGTGTATTAAATAGACTCATAATCCTTAAGAAGGGCCCATCATACCATTGTTGTTGTTAAATAGACTCATAATCTTTAACAAGAGCGTATTCTGATCAAGATTCATGAGTCCAGTAACCCCAAGACAAGAGATACTCATCACATGTTATGACCCAAACGATGCTATGACAGAAATGCAAAGGACGTGCCCAAAAGAAAAACTTACCAACATGGCCGATGAAAACCAAATTTATATGGCGCTTTTCTTCCTCTTCCTCATCTGCTACCATTTGAACATCCTCATGCGCAGGAGCTGGATTGATACAGAAGTCAGGGTAGGTTGCTTAAGAGCCTTTTACTCACAAATAGAAATTAAAGGTAGGACCAGCCTTGGCACTCCTATATTTTCTGTCGAAGCAATTCATGGCATTCCATACAAAGAAAACTCACAAAATCAAATGAGAAACCTTCTGGATCATCAACTTCTCAAGAAAGTTATCTTTGTGTTAAATGGGGGCAGGAGATAATTAACTATTTCAATCTGTTAACTTGGTATCAGCTTTCATAACAATAGTGTGATGGCATTATCTTTAAGTTACTACCAACTAACTTAAAATAGTTAGATGCTCATTATTGCATCCATTGACCAAATTTGCAAAAAATGAAGACACAAAATTATTACCAAAATTCTTGGGAGTACTGGTAACATTATAACTAATTAGCATTAACGGTGTGAAGAAGGGTCTAATACATACCATTTGTCTTCAACTCCAACGACTGAAGTGATGACTGAATGTCATTGACACCTGACAGTACATAATTCCAGTTACATGTTAGAAGTCCAATCACAGTGATAACGAACTGAGGGCTAATATTTCACAACATATCACGACAGAGGATGCCACTAGTTAAAGTACGACGAGTTTATATTAGGGGTGATAATGAACTTTCAGTTTCCATAGTATACTAGAAAGACCTTCTCCATGCTAATGCAGGTGAAATCTTTTAAAGGCACAGGAAGAAAATAGGAGACAAACAATGCATTTTCTCCAGCCACTAGTTACTTCAGGCACCAAGACAATCAGTGCCGGATGTGCAACAAATATTTACAGCAAGGCTCATGAGTTATTTCTCAGTAGTTTTCACTTCATTACAGTTCCAATTTTCCGTTCTTTCTTAGTAGTTTTCACTTCATTACAGTTCCCAATTTTCTGAAATGGTGCTGCAATCTCAATGCTTGACCCACCTAATAGCTATAGTACGGGCTAATTGAACGGATTATGCAACCGAACTGGCAATTACAGTTCCAATTATGCAGTAACTGACGTATCCTAGTAAACCCATTTAGAACACCGTCTCAGTCAGACCAATTCATCCCTCCACCAGAAGCTAGCAGGCATACAAATTCAGAACTACTGCAAATGGCTCTTACTGTTGCCAAGGAAATTCTCACGCTCAGCACACTACCTCTGAATGAATGCACGCGATAAAACATGGATGCCCTGCTTGCATGCTGACCCAAGCACACGACAACAAGAAAACAACCAATTTAACGATCTACAGGGACACAAATGGAATCCCCAAGCAGCAAAACCTAGGAAGTCACACTGCCCTTCAGGCCCTAGCATCCCACTGATCGGCATCGAGTGATTCTTCTGATGGTACAAACAGGTGTCTAGCCACAGATCTAACTTGATGCGCTACCAGGTAAATTGCGTTGCCCCTCCAGATCTTGCGCGCCCGATCGGGACAGCCACTAACTCGTCACAGTTATCACAGCCCTTAACAAATTCCCCGAAGGAGAACGGGCTAATCCACACGAGCAATGCTTCTAATCCTCCATACAAAACACCAGAAGACGGCACATCCTAGCCGAGCGCGACGGGACCAGGTAGATGAGGGGAGAGCGGACCTTCCGCTGGTGGCGCGGGGGCGGCGGCGGCGTCCGCGGGCTCGGGGCTCTCCTCCGCGGGGGCGGCGTGCCGATCGGACGGCTCCGCGTCGTCGCGCGCCCAGTCGTCCACGGCGCCGTCGTCCTGGGCGTGGTGCGAGGGGGCGGGCGGCGCGTCGTGCTCCATCCCGGCGGGCCGAGGGGAGCGAGGGAGCTGGGCGCGGCGGCGTCTAGGGTTTTTGGGCTGGAAGGATCTGGACTCTCGCCTCGGTGGAGTGGCTGCGGTGGCTGGGTGAGGATGACGGAGTGCAGACTTTTTATGCCGGGGGTTCTGGATTGTTCTCGAGGGATATGGACCCTGGACTGGACGGGGAAACGGGACGCCCACCCTTCTCTGTTTGGGCCAGTTTTAACAGAGCCCATGCCAGTTTACTCTGAACTGGGTTTTGTATTTAAAAGATTTAAGGGTCGCCACTTGTGGATTCTTAGAGCGTGTTCGGACTCTCTCCACTCCTCAACTCTTCTCCAAGAGCCGGCGGAGCGGCGCCGAACGCTCGAACTCCCCAGAGTTGCAAATCTGGAGCGGAGCAGGCTGCTGTGCACTTGTACGGAGCGGCAATTTGCGGGATCTCAAATCGGGAAATTATGGAGTTGGTGAGATTTACAGAAGAAGTGCCACCGCCAAGTGAAAACGGTTCGAGTGGGCACGGATGACTCGCTCGTTTCTATCCGTCCTTGTGAATCGGGAGTGGAGCTGCTTGCCAAACAGACTTTTAATCCCCGTGATCCATCTTGTATCCCAATGGACATTTTTGTTGATCAGCAAAGTGTTTGCCAAACCTCAAAAAAATATCCAGTTTTTTCAGATAGTTAACACGATCCATGACTAAGCTATAGGGGTCTCCCTTATTGTAACATATTTTATGCCTTCTATAAAAATATGGTAGGCAATTTGTCTACTTTCAGAAAAAAAAAATAAGGGCCTCTCTGGAGCTGCTTCACTTCACCAAATGCACTTTGGAACTACTAAAAAGGTAAAAAAATTTGGTGGAAAAAAGAACACTTTGGAGTGGTTCGACCTTGGAGTTAAAGCTCCATCATAGAGCAGTTTATCTTGTTTGGCTTCCGGTTAGCTCCAGCTTCAAGACTGACAAAAATTAATGGGAAAGGTCTATTGGAGGCTGCCTGACCTAGGGGAATAAAACAAAGGAGTATCCACTTAATAGTGGCAATGATGGTTAATTTTTCCCCAACTCCATGAGTACATTTCAAATTAAGAGTTTTTGGAGCACCTCCTAAAGAGCTTCAAGAAAAACGAGGGGGTAGTACCTCGGATTCTATTCTTTCTTTCTTTTTTTTGGAGCGGGACGTCGTGAAGATACCCCGTTTGTCTTGCATTTTTAAAGCGGGGCTAAATTTTAGGGAGCAGAGCAATCCCAGATAGGCCCTAAATCGAGTATTTCTTCAGCCATTTTTACTTTTGTCGAGGTTTGTCAAATTGGTTTGTCCTACCTTGAATATTTGACAGAAACGATTTATCGATAGATATCTCGGGTTGCACCTCTAGTTGGGATGGATAGGTCAGATTGGTTCCGACAATTAGTGACCTTCAAAATGTTGAGTGGATGGAAGGAGAAGAAACTTCCTATTTTGCGAGAAGAAGGTGGTGCTAAAGGTTGTTGTTCAAGCTATTCTAACGTGTTTGAAACTACACAAGCAGGTATGTAAAGGGATAACCACGGCTATATCCCAATTTTAGTGAGGAGATGGCGACAAAAAATGCATTGGTGTGCGTGATGGAATTATGCATTGGTAAGGTAAATATGTGGTATGGTGTTCAGGAATCTGCACCACTTTAATTTTGCTATGCTGAAACAATGTAAGAGGTTGCTGGCAGAATCTTATCCCTTAATGGATCATGCCGACGCACGCTGCTGCGCCCGTCTATTGTTGCAATCTAATGTTAGGTAATAATACAGATAAGCGAAGGTACGGATATATGTAAATATGTTGTTGATTAATTTTTGTATTGGAATTTTACCTTGTACTAGAATGTTCTATACTTAATAATGGAGTGTGTGAGGTTGGCCTTGTGGTTATTATAACGTGTTTAATTGGTGTGCAATATTCATGCATTTATAAGTATTCAGTTACATTTTGCACAATGTATCTGTAATTGATCAGTTACCATTTTGCAGCGACCTTTCTCGCGTAAGCAAATACTGTTTCTTGCCCATTGTGAGTCGTAGTACGTCTCGCCAACAACGTGGCGCTACTAGGCCAACCCAATACTGTAGTTGCAGGAGAATTATTTTATATGGTTTTAAATTGTCTTTTACCCTTTTGCACCGGTTTTCTCTGGTTTTTTCCCTTTTTCATTTTTTCTTCGGTTTGTCGTATTTCTTTCTTTGGTTTTCATCGGTTTTCTTTTGCTTTTTTAATAACTAATATTTTATACACATTGCACATTTTTCGTATACACCGGGCACATTTTGTATACACATTTAAAATTTTCCGAATACATGACTATTGTTTTTTTAGATACATAGGTTTTGATATCTATTTTTTTCATATACATTGTACATTTTCTGTAAACATCTGACTGAGTTTTTATGGGCAAAAAATATAACAGAGTATGGCAGGCGGGGGGCCATGGCCTCGCTCCTTTGATTTTTTTATGTCTTTTATTTCTATTTTTCTTTCAGTTTTTACTTTCATTTACCAAAAATCTCTTCACACAAACATTTGGAAAAATTTTACCAAACATTTGACAAATGTTAAATATGTATAGAGAAAATGTTTCTCATGTATATGAAAAATGCATACAAAAAATAAACAATTTGTGTGAAAAATATTGATCATGTATTTAAAATATCTAGATCAAGCACTTGAAAAAATAAATTAAACAATTATTTCAAAAAAGTTAATCAAGCATTCGAAAAATATTAAATGTATATAAAAAATGTTGACCATGTATTAAAAAAGTTAAACTTTTATTGTATTAAAATTTGTTAAATTTGTATTTCTAAAATGTTAATAAAGCATTCAAAAAGTGTTAAATGCATATAAAAAATAGTTTACCATGTATTAAAAATGTTAATTTTACATTTGAATTTTTTTTAATCAAGCACGTGAAATATGTTAAATGTGTATAGAAAAAATGTTGACCATGTATGAAAAAATGTTAATATTTTATTTGAAAAATGTTAATCAAGCATGTATAGAATATTTTTTGACCGTGTATTTTAAAAAAATTAATCTTGTATTACAGAAATGTTAATCAAGCATTTGAATTTGTGTATATAAATAATATTGACCGTATATTCAAAAAATGTTAAACTAGCATTTGATTTTTTTAACATGTAGTAGAAAATTGTTATTGACAGATACAAAAAATGTAGATTGAAAAAAGAAACAAAGAAAAGCAATAAAATGATGAAACCCTTAAAAGAAGCCGGAAAAAAAAGAAATCAAAAAATAAAACTGAAGAAGCAAGTGCAAAAAGAATGAAAAACAGTGAAAACAATAAAAAATGGAGAAAACAAAAATAACTATTGAAAACCAAGAAAGAAACAAAAAAACCTGAAGAAAAATGAAATGTAAATGAGAAAGAAAATAACAACCAATAAAACACATGAAAGAAACAAAGATAAACCAAAGAAAAATGAAAGAAAAAACAAAAAAACCGAAGTATAACGACGAAAAAACGAAAACCAAAGGAAACAGGAGAGGAAATATAAAAACTAAATAAAAAACAAAAGAAAACAAAAACGAAAAACAAAATACAGAAGAAAAAAACCCGTAGAAAAACATATTGGTATGGATAGTGGAAACAATGCTAAGAGGGTATCAATGCTGTCGCATGATGCCAATGAGGGTATGGTGCTAAGAGGAGTGGGATCAAGGGGGTCGCGTGGATGGCTTAGAGAAAGCAGAGCAACGCGTTTCAGAATCATTAGTGGTAGGGTCGGACGAGAAGTGGAAGGGGAAGAGTTGGGATTGTGGATGTTTTATATGGCACTAGGTGCGTGGCGTGAGTAATTTGGGTTGTTTCAGCCATATTTTTATCGTAGAAATGCTGAAATATAAGCCCGTTACAAGTATCGGCTATAACACCGATTAGGAAAAATCGAACTTAGTAGCATGCGACCGAAGAGCAACTAATTGAGGGTACCCCTTGCAGGAGCCCCTCAAGGGTCATTTTTGGTGAGCGCGCACAGCCGCCGCCACATGTCATGTGCTAGGCGCTCCTTTGGGATTTTTGTTTTTTGTTTTTTTGCACGCGTTTTTGGAATTTTTTCTTGGCTCTTCGGTTTTTCCTAGGTTTTGGACAAAAAAATTCTGCTACTAGAAAAGGAAAAAACATTCGTTTTATTTCTTCTGTGAGAGGCATGAGTTTGCTTTGTGAGTATGCCTCTCATAAAGAGAAAATTATGTTTTTTTCTTATGCGAGAGGCATAAATTAGATTCTCATAAAGGCACAGTTTTACTTCCGCAAGAGGCATAATTGTGCCTCTAAAAAAATGTATTTTTTCACGAGAGACACATATTTGCTTCTCGTGAAGTCGCGGGTTTACTTCCGCGAGAGGCACAATTGTGCCTCACGGAAAGGAAAAAATGTGTTTTTTTTCCATGAGAGGTACAAACTTGCTTCACGTGAGAGGCACGATAGAAAAAAAGTGGGGGAACTCGTGCTTCCGGCTCGTTTTCTTCTTGTTCCAATTTTTCCCTTTTTTGGGATTTTTTTTAGCAAAACCTATTAACACGAGATCTAGTTTCGAAGATCATGATGTGAAAAATCTAACGGTGAAAACGGTTCGCGATTTGGACACACAGTTTAAAAGATAAAGTGTTTTAAATAAACAAATCTACAAAGAAAAGAAAAACTCCCAGTTTGCGACAAGTGGAGCACATGATGTGTGCCATTTGTCATAATCCGAAAGGTGGGGCTGACCTTTGCAAAGGGTACCTTAATTAATGATTTCGCATGAGACCGTCATAGGTAACAATAACATCCACGACGAGCAAGGATTTAGGCCCGTCAATAATTACTTTTCCATCAATATAGGCAGGGCCGGAATAAGGGGGTACCAGTAGTATTAATAATGATTAGTTAGATACAACCGACATATCCAATGGCCACTACTAAAGCACATACACTCAAATATGGAAACCACTCTAGCAAAA